GGCCCGGTACTGGTCCACGGACCGGGGGTTGGGGACCCCTGGTGTAAAGGCTTTGGCCTGCAAAGGGTGACAGTCGTACTCCACTTTGCTTTTCTCCCTCTTCCTCTACTTCTCCACAATGTCTGTTACTGCAAGCAATATCTCATTCTTCCTATTTCTGAAATTTGGAAGCGATGTTCCAAGACAGCAGCAGCATCTGGACACAAAAGGGTCTGTCAGCAGATGTGGAGCTATATCAAGATTTCCTAAGTAACAAAGAACATTTAGAAAGGAGGAACACACCACAGAAAATTGAATAGAACAGGAGTTTCATTATTATTTAGCTGTGTATTGAATGGACAAGGAAGGTGGATTTTTTTTGGTTTGTTTTGGATTGCTGAGAGTAGCTCTTTTGTTCCAGGAAGAGCGTGAAATTCATTTGGGAACATCAAAGTGAGGGTTCCCTTCCAGGGAATTTGGTTCAGAGATACTTTGGGGTTCTTGAGAACTTCAAAATGGCTGCTGCCATCGCACATAGCTCATTCATTCAATCCCCACCCAAAGGCCACTAATTATAAGGAATAGCTGCAGAAAGTCTGCAAGAGGAACTTGGACAAATTAGCTTGGAGACGTGAAGGATAAGTAAAATCCTTGACAAGTCACAAGGACATTGCTGTATGCATGAAATTTAAATTTTTTATAAATAGCTGCAGGGGTAAGTGAATTTTAAGAACAAATGAGCTAGCGAGCAAAATTTTAGGAACTGATTTTCGTTGGGCTGGATATTTGCATTTTATTCAGAAGGTGCTGTCTTGAATGCTCTTCCAATGAACGGTCCTAGGAGTAAAAGCAAGCGTGTTAAAAATATTAAGCCACTGTGTACTCATCCAGTGCTATGTTTACATCTGAATCGCCAGGGTCAATATTTTTGAAAAGGGTCCTTCGTTTGAATAAGAAACGTCCTGCAAAATTTGCCCCTTGAAATCAGACCACAAGAGATGTGGGAGAAAATCAGAATGTAATCAAAGATTGGCAGGAAGCCAATTAAAGAAAACATTTCTCCTCAAAATGCTGAATTTATTTCGGAATAACAGAATAGCAGAGTTGGAAGGGACCTTGGAGGTCTTCTAGCCCAACTCCCTGTTCAAGTAGGAGACGCTATGCCATTTTAGACAATGGTTGTCCAGTCCCTTCTTAAAAGCCTCCAGTGTTGGAACACCCAAAACTTCTGTTCCTCTGGTTGATTGTTCTCACTATCAGGAAATTTCTCCTTAGTTCTAGGTTGTTTCTCTCTTTGTTCGGTTTCCATCCATTGTTTCTTGTCTTGCCTTTTGGTGCTTTGGAGAATAGCTTGACCCCCTCTTCTTTGTGGCAGCCTCTCAAATACTGGAAGGCTGCTATCATGTCATCCCCGGTCCTTCTTTTCATTAGGACTACACATACCCAATTCCTGCAACCGTTCTTCATATGTTTTAGCCTTCAGCCCCCCAAATCATCTTTGTCACTCTTCTTTGCCCTCTTTCGCAAGGTTTTAGTTGATTCACTGCTCACCCCAGGCCTTGAGTGGCTTTAAAAAAACGGGGTACAAAATTAGCACCACCGTTAATGAATTAAGCTAATTAATCTGTGCATTAATTCTGCCCTCCCTTATTTCTAGTGGTGGTCTCATGATTTGGTTCTCCTTTGCCTCTTATATTTTGCTGACTCGTCTTTCTCCTTTTGGCTCTGCTCTTGCACATGGGACTGCCTGGCTGGGCAAAGCAAGCTATGCAGGCTCGTCTGCCTCAGAGAAGCGGGGATAAAAATGAAAATAAAAGAATCCAGCTTCCTTTTGTGGCTACCAGCAGGAGTGAACTGACTTGAATGAGAGCAGCAAAGCATAAAGCTTTGAAGGAACAAATGGAGTAGGAGTGTGAAGAAGAGAGGACATTTCATCTGAATATGTGCTGGAAAGCTTTTGTCAGTTTACAGGCTCAAAAGCCACCTAAAAATAGCAAACTGCCTTCATGTTTCAAGTTGCATAGTGCCCAACATCTGGAAAACGAAAGGAGAACCAGTAGTTTTACCTGGATTGTTGGCAAACAAAAACGAACATGCTTTGAGTAGACCCAATGAAATCAACAGGACTTGCTGCTCATGGTTATGTTAAACATTAATGGTTTCATCAAGTCCATGCTAAGTATGATTAGGTATGGATTCAACCATTAACAGCATCATAATCATAACTGCATAATCTAGACAAGACAAGGTACTAACTGGATTTATATACTAATTCATCATGAAATGGATACGCTATGATGTCAAAATAATAGTACAATATATTGACAATCAAGTAATTGGCCCAAAGATAACCATAGATATGGTAGTTGGAAAAGATCTAAGCCTTAATGTCAATAGTGTTGTGGCAGAATTTGGAGAGCTTATGAACTCCCTCTTAATGGTGAGAAGAATACAAATCACAAGTCATTTGATTTTCTATTGCATTCTTACTCATTTACCTCTCTTCTTATTCCACTATAGAACTTAATGTAGAGCATCAAATCTTCCTAGATGATCATCAATATAATAACAGTAGTATGCTTATCATTGTTTGCCTGTATGAGCGTCAGGTCACTGCTATTTCTCTGACCTCATCTTCTTCTGGTTTAAATCAATTGGCCTTTGACCGCTGAACATCTGCACTGTGTTGATCCTTCTGAAAGAGCCCATCACCCAAAAAGTCAATTTTATCTAGCATTCAAAGAGACCAACCAGATATTTGTGGAATTACCGCAATCAGTTTCAGACAGCAACAATTCCATGCCAACTGGTCTTCTCTCGTTGGCTCTGAAGCTCTATTCAAGAATGTGTTGCTGCAGACCAAGACCAGGCAAAACTATATAACCTGAATGTAGACAATGATCTTGATCTAATGAGTACTTGGTTTTTATTTAGTGGAACAACCTGCCTCCAGAAGTTGTGGGTGCTCCAACACTGGAAGTTTTCAAGAAGAGATTGGACAACCATTTGTCTGAAATAGTATAGGGCTTCCTACCTGAGCAGGGGGTTGGACTAGAAGACCTCCAAGGTCCCTTCCAACTCTGTTATTCTGTCCTATCTTATCCTATCCTATCCTATCCCGCATTCTATTCTATTCTATTCTATTCTATTCTATTCTATTCTATTCTATTCTATTCTATTCTATCCTATCCTATCCTATAGCATAAAGCTATTTGATCAGATTCCACAGACTATTATGCTCACAGTGAAACAATAATTCATCCATGTTGGGATTCTGCCATCATTGGACTGCTGGTCCCTTCTTATCCTTTCATCCACTTTCTCTCTCCCATCTTATTTTTTGACCCACTTAATGTTGATTAAAAAAGACACAGAAACAATATTCTGAATTCTAAAAATGGCTTGGCAAAGATTAGATCAACTAAGTTTTTTAAAAAAACAAAAACAAAACCATGACAAGATTTGTATATTGGGAAGCATAAGAAAAAGTATAGTCAACCAGCAATTCTCATAGCTTAATTAATTGCGTGCGTATTCGCCTGCAATCAAGAATGGCTCTCAACAGTTTACAAGATACTGTATAAGTAAACCTAATCCACTTATAGTTCTTCTAATTAAAAACATCTCGAATTAACACATCATAAGGGAATCAAACACATTAATTAAATAAAACACGGGCTAATTTTGAACTAAAGACACTTTCCGAAAGGGCTCAGTTTTTGCATTTTCCTAAATGCCACCAGGCAGGGGAACAGTTTGATTTGACTTGCAAGGGTGTTTCAGAGAGTTGATGCTACCACTGAGAAACATCGTCTTCTAGTTTCTGCCCTCTTTACTTCCTGAAGGCGAACTATCAGCCGTTTCTTCTGACCTATCACAGAACAAGCCAATTCCTTAGTTGTAAAAGCTGAGATGAATTTGTGAGATCCATGGAGAAGAAAACTACTCAGTCTTAACATGAAACAGTAGAACAGAAACAGAAATTCAAGCCTGTGCGTTTGAGAGGGATCCCGAATGAAGAGAAAACCTAGATGAGCACTCCTGAATTTTTCTGATACATTATCCTAAACCAGCAGTCTATTTTCACATAGTTTTTATCAGGACACTAAAGAAATAAAATGTGCTTGGCTTTAGAACACCAATACCTTACTTCATCATCTAGCCATTGTCTATCCACTACAGGATGAAGGCCTCTTCCACATGTTTCCAACTAATACGGTCTGGAGCTTTCTTTGCCAATTGGGGCCACGATACTTGTTGATGTCGTCGCTACATCTTGTTTTAGGTCTTTTTTGTGGACGCCTTTTATCAAGTGGAATCCATTTTATGACTGCCTTGGTCCACTTTACTTAAATCAGCAAAATACCTCCAGAAAAACCACTGAAAATGGGAGACTCATGGCATCATAATTACCCTGGACCACTGTGGTTGAGGACAGATCAACACAAAAGAGGTCTAGCCATTCAATCTCCAACTGATCATCCATCCATCCATCCATCCATCCATCCAATAATGCAAAGCCATTTAGAGGAGGCTCTAATCTTTATTTATTTGATTTTATCCTGCCTTTATTATTTTTATAAATAACTCAAGCAGCGAACATATATAATACACTTTTTTCCATCCCTTTCCCCCCCTCTGAGGTGGGTTGGGCTGAGACAGAGGGACTGGTCCAAGGTCTGGCTTTTCATGCCTAAGGCGAGACTAGAACTCACAGTCTCCTGACTTCTAACTGACTACCAAATTGGCTCTATGGGAAAAGCGGAAGGAAAAAGAAGAGGACAACCAGCAGGAAGGTGGCTAGACTTAGTCACAGTGGTGATGGATGCATTGTTGGAAGACCTGAAGGACCAAGTTAGGGACAGATTGCCCTGGAAAAAAATCTATATGGTTGCTAAGAGTCATCAATGACTTGATGGCACTACAATCAATCAATCAATCAAAGTATTACATCATTATTGCAATACTATTCCAAGTTAAAAAAAAATTAAGATGGCGTCATATAAAGATAATCCACATACCGATACCATTCATGATGGGCGTCTCGTTGTTGACTTCGAGAACGCCGGGCAAATTGGCTTCTCCTTCAGCTTCATTTAGCTCCTCGCTGGCCTTTTGGGAGCCATTCCCCAAGTGAGCAGAATCCTTCTCGAAAGGGGCATCTCCATTCGGCAAGCCGTTGTGTGGCTTTTTCAGGGGCATGATTTGCAAGCCACTCGGCGTAGTCCGGTACGATACGGTTTTAGCAGCTCTGTCGTTTGAAGAGGCCGGTTTCGCTCCGTAGCTTTTTTTTGGCTTTTGAAAGGTGGAGGTCATGCGCTTCCTTTTATGGGAGAGTCCTTTGCTTTTCCCAGAGTCTGAGGGTCTGTGGGTTATCTTGTCCAGGGATGACCCCCTGCTTTCTCGTAAAAATTTGGGCACGTTGGCTTGTTTCCCGTGTTTAGCGCGCTTTTCCCTGGTGACGTGTAGTCCATTGAATTCATCAATGAATTCCTCACAGTGCAATAAGTGATGTTCTGGTTCCCATGTGTCTTCGTTGCTTCCATAACCTTTCCACCGTATGAGATATTCCCATTTGCCCTTTTTATTCTTCCTTTTGTCTACAATCCTTTCGACCTAATAGGAAAACAAAGGGAAAGAAAAAATGGTAATCTGCTAGGTGGAAAATAGTAATAGTGTCAGGTACAAGCAACGAGAGCCATTCGTGAATAGCTTTAGTTATCTATGTCAAGGCTTTTCAACCAGTGGTAGGGGTACCACCTGTGGTACATTGGCACCTGGCAGGTGGTACGCGACCATCCTAGAAAAGTGGTAGCAGGAGAGGGGAATGAGCTGAACCGGTGGCAGCACCGCACAAGCCTGAGCGAGAGATGGCTGGAGCTGCAGGGCTGGCAGGGCTCAGTGGAAGCGCCAGGATCAGCGCCAGGCTCCAGCTGGAGCTCGGCGCTGATCCTGGCGCTTCTGCTGAGCCCAGAAGAAGCGCCGATCAGCTGGAATGTTGCAGCATTTCCAGGCTCTTGTGATTTACATTCAGATGCTTGGCAACTGATTCATATTTATGACGGTCACAGTGTCCCAGGGTCATGTGAAGTGACCAAAACCTGCTGCAACCACCCAGCAGACGGGGGGAATAAAAACCAAACACCCCCCACCCCACCCCCGCTGCCAATCCTCAACAGAAATGCTCACAACTATGAAAACCTCGGACAGGAGGAAAAGCATCGCCGGGCGGGCAGGCAGGTGTCTTGCTCGGCTGTGGCTTGGGGGGCACTTTTTTCAGTGCCATTGTAACTTCGAACAGTCACTAAGCGAACTGTTGTAAGTCGAGGACTACCTGTACTTTATCACTTTTTTCCTTTTTTTGGGGGGGGTATCAAGTTTTTGACACCTTGCTAGGCGCCTGGTGGTACTCGGATGTTGCCATATCCTAAAAGTGGTACAGCGGGTGAAAAGGTTGAAAAGCCCTGGTCTATGTTACAAAAATCTCCCCAGACTCTTTGCTTTCCCCCTGGGAACAACCAGATAAGTGTAAGGACCCACCTCACTTTACATCTTAAGAATACAGAACTCTTGGAATATCTCTTCCAACGGGCATATTTATTAAGAGAAAATGATTGTAGGCGTGCTAGACAGGATCTGAGAAATTCTCTCCCATCCTTCAATGTTTTAAGCGTTCCCAAGCAGCCCCCCCCACCCCACAGTTCTTCCGGGCGACGATCCTTGTTCCCCTCCTTTTTCCTTACTGCCGGCAAAAGGGAGACTTCAGAGAGAGTAGATGAAAGGCGATGGCCATATTGTTATGGTCAGTCCTCTTGGTGAGAATCAACATCCAGTCCTTTTGAAGTTTTAATGAAGGAAGTGAGAGCCATAAAACCCCCCTGTTCATCCCCCTTCCCCTTCCTAGTATGGCAGAATCCAGAGAGAGCAGAAATGGGTTTTTTCCATAGTAGATAACTAGAAATGAAATATAACTGGATTCTCACAGTAAGATTTCATGGATCCTGGGAGAGCTGAGGCTGATGCCTCTTGTGGATATGCGAGAACTCCAAGCTAGGTCCCTGCTTAATTCCCCCTTCTAGCCTGGCTGGTAGTTTACCAGTATAAAAGTTGGTAATCCCAGGCATGTTTATTTGGGAATTTCAGTGACATCAGTGGGGATTATTTCTGAGTAAATTTCTGCCTATCTCACATACATGACTCTGGGTGTGTGCAATAACACAATCAAGTAAACAAAGTTAAAACAACAATATAATGCGATTATTAAGAAAAAAAATAAGAGAGATTAAAAGAGAGCTATAAATAACAGCATGGGAGAATGGATTTTTTACGGCACAAGGCGTCTTTATTTATACCAGAATTCTTTATGAACTTGAATATTTTAAATATTTTTTTTTCTTAACCGGTTCTAAGATGAGAGAAAGTATTTACTGGTTCACCATAGCTACTTTTTAGGGAGTGTGGTGGTCAAATTTATTGTTCCAGCTTTCCTGGTAACATATGATACAACTGTGAGGAACTCCCACGGTGTTTTGTGGTAGCTTTTGAGAATGCTACAAATGATTAAAAATTAATGACATCCAGTGAGTGTCATTAGCAGAGTTTTTAAGCATAATATTGTGCACTCTCAATTAAAAGTACAGAACTTTTAAATGTGAATTTAAAACGTATAATGTTAGTGCTTCGGTACTGGAGTTTATATATCACTGTTGTCCAGAGGCGTTCTTGAACAGCTTATATTTCTTTGACTCTTTAACTTTTACAGTGGAAGTGTAAAATATACAATACGGGAGAATAACAAACAACAGAGATGAACAATAACAAAAGCTACCAAGAAAGAAATGAAGATCACCAAGAATGAAAGTTTCCAAGTACAATCCAAGCTATGGAGTTCTAAGTTAGACAAGATTCTCTCTCAAAGCTTTCTCAAAAATCCTGTCTTTAAAAATCCTGCCCTAAAGCACCGTAGCTCTTCTTTTAATGAATTTTTGGAAACATCAATATTTGGGGATATTTTCATTTTGAACGGCATCATAGAAATTGGACTGTTTTTGAAAATACACCAAATCAAATGTAGAAGACAGACGGAGAAGCTTGCAGTGGTCCAAAAATGAATGAAATTGGTAAAAGAAATAAAACCGATCAGAAGATGCTGAAACTGTTGATAAATGATAATAATTCAAAATCAATTCAAAATGGAACTTATTCAAGTTTTTATATTGCAAAGCACGGATTCTAAGCCCTAGTCCACCCCTTTTAGCCTTTTCTAATATGTTTTTTTGTATATTTTTTAATACTGTGGAAGGCAAAGACTACATAACTTTATTTGATTTACTGAAATACTGATGGTTTCTTTTGTTTTCAATGGATAAACTTTCTGTCTTCTCCTAAACATGCTAAAATTGAGGCTCATGACTTTCTTTAGAATTCAGTATTTTATTCTGCAATTTGTAGCAATGGTTAAAATATTCAGCAAACTGTACCTCAACTGTCTGAAAGAGCCTAACTTTTTATTTTTATATATAAAACATGCTTGGTCATCCACTTATTTATTTATAATATTTTATAGTGACTTTTATATATGAAAGCTAAAATATGACTCTGTACAGTGTGCTACAAATTAAATATTGTATTTTAATTTCCCCCCCAAATCCATATGGGGAAGAAAGGACCACCCCCCCTCCTTTCCTTCTGCATTGCATCAAAATTTCCAAAAAATTTACACTTCTGTGCAAACTAGTGAGGCAAGGAAACATCTGTTTCAACAGATCTCAAATTTCAAACAGATTTCAAGCATCTCTTGAGAATATCCCACCACTGGCTATACAGATGGCTCTCTACACACTGAATGAATGTTGAATTAGGGAAGGCATATATGGGAAAAGTATCTCAAGGAAAACTAATAACAGCCATGTCCTGAAAACCTGGAAAAGCTGGGTTCCACCTCAACAAAGTGATAATCTTGATCGTTACACTGAACGATGTTGTTTTATTGGAAAACAAAACACGACTTTTTTTTTTCAAAATAAAGTTCAAAAGAAAGGAAAGAGAATAATCACCAGTACGCGTGGCATTCCCCCAACTAAACAATTAAAATAAAATGAATAACTTTAACATCAGAAAGTATAACATCCTCTCTAGCTGAAGATATCTGGAAATTTTTTAACAGCTAAAAATCACCTGGAGACTAACCATTTCGCCTGAAGAAGCACAAATGAAATTTGTTGACTGAACAAACTACGGACGCAATCATTTCATTTAATGAAAACAATTTCAACCGATGACTGTATGTATGACATTTCTAATGACCAATTACCAAGGTCCTATTCAAAGCTTATGGGAACTGTGAACAATTCAAGGTCTCCAGTTTTTATACCTTTGCACTGCAGAGACCCAATTCTAAGATTCGAATTGATTTTTCCAGCTACTAGAATCTAAAATATCTCCTTTCCAGTGACCCAGAAGATATAGAAAGTATCTTCTCTTTGATCTCTATTTCTTAAAATTTCCTGTAATCTTGCCGGTCTCACAAATATTAAAAAAAAACACGATACAAAAAAAGATGTTGAGATTCTAGAAAGAGTGCAGAGAAGAACAAGAAAGATGATTAGGGAACTGAAGGCTAAAGCATATGAAGAACGTCTGCCGGAATTTGGTATGTCTAATTTAATGAAAAGAAGGCCTAAAGGGGGGACATGACAGCAATCTTCCAATATCTAAGAGGCTGCCACAAAGAAGAATGGGTCAACCTATTCTCCAAAGCACCTGAAGGCAGGACAAGAAGTAATGGGTGGAACACCACTAAAGACACATCTGACCTAGAACTAAGGAGAAATTTCCTGACAGTGAGAACAATTAATCAGTGATGGCTTGCCTCCAGAAGCATGGCTAGTCCATCACTGGAGTTTTTAAGAAAAGACTGGACACTCATTCGTCTCTCATTTGTCTGATGGGCATTTGACCTCTTGTTAGTTCTAATGTTATCAGGTGCAAAAGACAGGTCCATATGTGAAGGTCCAATTAAATTTGATTTATTTATTACATAGCCTATGCACAGGACTCTTTTCAACTAATGGTTAGCACCTGCTTGGAGTTAGGTAAGTGTCCACTGAATTCAAGGGGGATTGGACTTAGTTCGCTTGTGGCTATGTAGGAATTCTAGGCTGATCCCTCTTTTAACTCCACCCTCAGATTCTGTCACTCCTTCTGCGGGTGCTTCTTGTACATTTAGTTTTAGTTTTAATTTGTTTGGACTTCATAATTTGGTTTTGTGTATACCCACTGGGTGGCTTGCCATCCAGATTCATAGTTGATTAGGGAGGCTTATAAACAGGGTAAGCATGCATAAACAAACAAACAAATAAATAATGCTTCCAACTGAGTTTACTGTTAGGAAGCTTTTCTTTGTAACATTCAATCAGAATCCACCTTCTTATAGCTTAAGATGCCCCCTTTTCCATTTCTAATGTTAGATGTAATCAATTATTCAACTACAGTTGAAGCTCAAGCTAATGGGCCATTTGGACGGAAGGGGTGATGTTGAATTTGAATGTCTGTTAAGTGTAATGGGCGTCGTTTATAGAATGTGGGTCAGTTTGCATCTATTTGCCCAATTTGGTATGCTGCCTACTCGTGTGACTCTCACAATAACACAAGCGATGTCAATTAAGCATTACATCAGCGATGTTAAATGATGCAAGTTAAATAAATTACGTCAGTGGCTTGGGTTATTTCAGATACATTGGATTTTGTCCATTTTTGGCAGCAATGCTTGAGCTCCACATTTATCTGTTACATCCAAAGTCCATTAAGCAGGGCTCTATAAAATCTAAGATTTACTTCAGCTGGAAATGAAAATGCCAGTGCTTCCTCTGAGAATGGAACACACAATAACTCCTTTTCAATGCTAGGTCTGCATTTCTGGAACCTCGTCTCAGCTGATGTATGTGTGAGATCATCAATTTTTTCCTCTTTTTTTTTTTGGGATAGGCTTGAAAGAACTCTACACTTCAAGTACTATGGGACTGGAACAAAATGGATGGAATTACCTAAAACCTAATCTAATGGCTTTAGACAAGGAGACATTGCTCTGCAAATTAGCACGTTTTGCACTGGCTGCTGCTAAACAGAGACAATAATTTATCAAAAGTTTTTAATGCTTTCTAATATTTTATTTGCTACTAAAACAGTTTAATAACACTGAAAGTTCTTACTGATTTTTTTGTTTATATTTTAACGTGTTTTATTAACGTGTGGCCACTTTTGTGCAGGTTTTATCTTATTTGTTATGACCGGCGGTCAAAACAATAATTAGATCGATTGACTGAAACCAACCAACAATATAACAAAGAAAGGTATAGGACCATCGCTGTGAGTATTGTGCTGAGAAAATACGTCCATTTGCAAGCAGCAAAATTACACACTTGATACTTATTTAAGATGCCATAAATTGAGGTCAGCATATGCTAGTGAGCAAGTTTGCTCTTTTTTTGGAGGGGGGATAACTGAATACTACTGATGTAAGCCAGATAAGAGACCACAAATTTCATTCACTGCTTCCAAATCACTTCAACAGTTGTATCCAAAATAGAATTGTAACATCTAAAAGCTTCCGAATATATTTATCTTCACCAAGGAAACTGAGCTAACGGGGGTAGGAGAAAGTTGGATGATAGCCCTGCTAGAGTCCATAACTTGTGTAAATAGTTTAAAGAATGGAATGCTCTGATTTGGGAACCAACCGACAAGACAACCAATCCTTTTATAGAATCCTCCAATTTCCTCCTCTCGTCCCCAGTCACATGGAACCTGGGCTTCCTACCCACGATGTCTCCACTTGTCCAAATCTTGTCCAAGATACTATATGGAAGTGCTAAAGTTCTGAAAGAATGCTGAGTCTCTTCATCCAGAACTTTCCCACTGAAGTCCTTCCTTGGGAAGTAGATTGTTGGTTCTCTACTGCTCATGGCAATTGACCCCAGGTTGCTAAATGGATTAGAATTTCACCCAGCAGGAGAAAACCTGGGTTGATCACTTCCGTTTGGGATGACGGGACAACCAGTTCTTTTGTTTTTGTAGCTTTTTGCCCTTTTTCTTTCTTTGGAAGTGATATCTGAACAAATACGTCTCATTCCTCTTTGAAAACACTGAGATCCAGAGTGATGTAGTGGCTGAGGTGTTGGAGAAGACCCAAGTTATATTTCTGATTCAAGATGATGATGGGCCAGTCCTTATCACTCAAACTCAACCCTCTCCACAAGTTTGATAAGGAGATAAATTGAAGGACAACATATTTATCTTGAGATCCCAGAGGAAAATGAAGATTCTTTTTTCTTTTGGGTAAGAAAGTTTTCTAACGAACGGAGTGGTTTTTGCAACCTACCCACATACAATATACACATATGAATGTGACAGTGTGACCACTGGGTCTTAATCAAATGATCTCTCTGCAATTAGATTTGATTCAGATTTAACTTTTAAAGTTGTCTGAATGGGCAGTAGAAACGTCTTGCAAAACAAATACATGTATCTGGTTTACCTCTGCCTTCTCATGGAGTTTATCTTCTGATTTATCCCTCTAAGTCTGGGTGTAGCCCTCAGGGTCAAGTGTTACGCTATACCAGTGGTTCTCAACCTGTGGGTCGGGACCCCATTTGGGGTCGATCGACCATTTCATGGGGGTCGCCAAGCAAGGCTGTCCACCATTTTTTTGTCCGCCATTTTTTTCGCCCTTTTCCAGCGGGTGCCTTACCTCCCTTGGGCTGGGCCAGCTGGTGGTCGGCCTGCTCCGTCTCTGCCGCTTGCCAGCTACGCCTCGGCCGGCGCAGGGGGTGGAACCACGCATGCGCGGCGCTCCCGGGCAGGGAAAGTCCTCGACATACAACCGGTTGGGTAGTCCTCGACTTATGACCGGTTTAGTCCTCGACTTACGACCGGTTTAGTCCTCGACTTACGACCGGTTTAGTCCTCGACTTACGACCGGTTGGGGTCGCGGCATTAAAAAGGTTGAGAACCACTGCGCTATACGCTATACGACTTCTTAACTGCATATCACTGCTGAAGCAACTAAGAAGTTGACTCTTCCTCTTTGCCCTGAGGAAATGAGGCAGGATGATCCTCCCAATGGATCCCTTTCAATCAACCTCTGGAGAAGGTAGTTCTTGCAAGGAATTTCCTCCAAAGTGGTTCCGAAGCTTCCTCCTTTCCTTGTTCTGGCTGAGCAGCAGTTCTGACCTTTAATTTCTCTTTGGAGGACAATAGGAAACCAACGAACGCCTTCCCTTGCTTCCATGAAGCAAACAGAATATCATTGTAAAATATAATATCTTCTTTCCACCGGACAGCTGAAACAAACTATGATCTTACAGTCAGAACTTTCTGAAATAATTGGTGTTGAATATTATGGAAAGTTCCTTGCTAGGTGTCAATCGGCAGCGGTATGACACCATACCTGATGCATCATTTAAAAGCTTCGTCAAACAGAATACGTGAAGACTTCTATATGTTAATAGGTCACTCTCTGGCCAGAAGTGGTGAGAAAAGTGAGAGGAGAAGATTGCATGGACTTTCCAAATGATGCATTTTTGCCATGACCACAAAATCCATTCCAATAGTGTCATTCAATTCAGACAGCATGAGTGCACATCTATGCTGATGTGCCCAAGAAAAACAATACCGTAATCCAAAAATCAATGCTGGTTATTCTTTCATTATTCACAATAGTGACTTTGGAGAGAATCCTTGAAGAAACCTTCAACACATCTATTGGACGTATTGCTTCAGTTTCCTTGGTGACCTCTAAAAAACACAATTTTCCTAAATCTTCTCATATAAAAGAAGGCCCTTTTTGGAATATATCTTTATACGCACGCCAGCATTTAGTCCTCACAATTAGGAGAATTAGGACAATATATTGAAAAGGCTTTTTTTTAATGAGGTGCCTTCTGTATGATTCAATGCTTCTACTGATTTCAACAAAGCAATCTAATCTCATCCCATAGTAATGCTTAAAGTTGCTAGAAGATGTTGTAATTTTTTTTCAGTAAAAAAAAGTATAGTAAAAATAAAATTTGCTCCTGCAAATTATGATAGGCTTTATTAATTTGTCAGAACCAACTACACAAATCTGGGAATCATCCATCTTCTATGTAGGCATGCTGTTAACCAAAAACAAGAGAATAGAACATCTGGATTGGAAGACATTTATTGGCATCTGTGCCATTTCTAAGGACAAGTGGAGATGTTTACAATGTTCAATACAGATGCCTAGGAAATAAATATTTGAGGACACGTCTGCTCTCTTACCAATCCATCTATAAGGTCCAAATTACTACAGCAAACAGTTGTATGATATGCAATTTTTCCAATTATTCTCTGTCTCCAGCGTGGGTGGGTTAGATATAGCAAGTAGCAGAAGGATGAATAAGAATTTTAGGTGATGACATCAAACCTTGATCTATCTATCTATCTATCTATCTATCTATCTATCTATCTATCTATCTATCTATCTATCTATCTATCTATCTATCTATCTATCTATCTATCTATCTATCTATCTATCTATCTATCTACCTATCTACCTATCTACCTACCTACCTACCTATCTTTCTAGACCACTCATCTCATTCAATATACTCAATATATGAAAGACCATAACTCAACAATATATGAGCTCCATTTCTTGGCTTTACTGTTAATTATCTCAGCTGTTATATGTATTTATTCTCTGGATGTTTTTACTGTTGTATTGTTTTTATTGTTCTAAATCTTAGAATTGTGAGTTGCCTAGAGCCACTTGGTTGAGTTGGATGGCTACAGAAAATGAATGAATGAATGAATGAATGAATGAATGAATGAATGAGCGAACAAATGAGTGAATGAGTGAGTGAATGAATCAATGAATCAATCTGAATAGCCTCAATTCAATACCTAGCATTTACAGGAAGATCTAACTCTTGTGGTCCTATCAACTGATACAGAGAACACTGTCTTAAGTTATAGGATTCT